GGAGGACGAGGAGGACATTCTGGTTAGCCTCTTCGGTTGCAGCCGCTCGCTTCCTTTTGCTCTCTGGAGAATGTCTTTGGTTGTTATTACTATTATTATCATCATTATCATCGTCATTTTTGTCATTAGCATTATTTTTGTCAGTATCATTGTTGTTATAATGATAATTATTATTATATTATTATCATCATATTCATTATCATTATCCTGTTATTATTACTATCATTATTATTGTTGTTATTAACTTTACTATTATCATTACTGTTATTGTTATTATATCATTATTATATCTTTGTTTTGTTGTATGTTATTATTAGTGTCAATACTATTGTTATTATGTTATGATTATTATCATTATTTATTATTATTATTATTATTATTATTATTATTATTATTTTAATCATTCTCTTCATTCTCTTCATTCTCTTCATTATCATTACCATCACATCATCATCGTCATTATAGTTATTATTGTCATCATCAAAACGATTATCAATATCGCGTCCTTTTTGCATGCAGTTTGTTTTCATTGAATTTATCATCATATATATGTCTATCGCCCCTTGATTCATCTCTTTCCTTTTGTAAATATATTTCGAATTTACAATACCTAGATGTGGCCCTTTTTTGAATATTCATTGTATATATATTTCAAGTTTTCTGGTTCTAGATTTTTTTTTCATTGAGAAATTGGACTACAAAAAAGGTACTTAAGTTTTATCGACATTTTGATAATGATCGAGAGAAATTTGGAAATCTGTTTTAATTTAGACGTGTATTTGCTTTGCATGGGGTGAAGAATTTCGAGTTTAAGTTATTATATATATATATATATATATATATATATATATATATATATATATATATATATATATATATGAGTATTTGATAATCATGTATTGGGATTTCCTGATAAGCGTTATCAGTTCGTTGCTCAATTTGTTGGATTATCTGTTTTTTTTTTTAATATTGTGATATCTGATCTCATTTTATGTGTTTTATGTATAATCAGTTTTTTTTATATTGCTATCTTTGTTACTCATTTATTCTCTTTTTTTCCTCCACTTCCTTGTGCTCTCTTCCTCGCTTCCTCTTCCCTGTTTCCTCCATCTCTCTTTTCTCACCCCACCTTTCCCCTTCCTCCTTCCCTCTTTCACTCCGTCCTCCCCTTCTCCCTCCCTCCCTATCTCCTTCTCCCCTCCACCCCTCCCTCTCCTTTCTCCTCCCCTCCCCTCTCCCTCTCCTTCTCCTCCCCTCCCCTCCCTCCCTACCTCCCCCAACACCCCCCACCAGGCCCAGCTCGTGCCGTGTGAGTGGTGCGGCAGAACCTTCTTCCCCGAGCGCCTCGAGGTTCACCAGCGCGGATGCAAACCACCTCCCGGAGCGGCGAAGAAGGCGCAGAGGTCCTCGGTGAGTGAAGGGGGTGTTTTGGTTATGTGGGAGGGAGGGTGGGTGGGAGGGTGGCTGGGGTGGGAAGGTGGGGAGGGTGGGGGTGGAAAGGTGGAAGGAGGATGGGGTGGGAGGGGAGGGTGGAAGGGTGAGGAGGGTGGATGGGTGGTTGGGCGGTTGGGAGAGGTCGGATGGTTGTGGTGATTAGTTTGTGATGTGTATTATTGTGTTTAATTTATTTGGTATTTTTGTCATTTTATTCAATACACTATTTACCAGGGTTATGATTATTTCCCTAATATCTTCCACGCTTTTGTTATCATAACTTTTATCATTATTGTTATCAGTATTTTCAATTTATTACCATCATTGTATCGTTTTTATATCGTACCATCACTTTAATCTTTGATATTGCAGAAAATCTTTACAATTTGATATCAATAGTAACAACAGTGGAAGTATAAATCTTAGTTTTATCAATAAAAATATTCTGGCTAGTAATCTGTGTTAGCATAATCGTTACCATTATATTTATCATATTTCTCTTGTTGTTTGTGATAATATAATTGTATAGACGTTAACGGTATTGTTATTGTTTCAAGTTATCACTAACACTAAGGTTATATGAAGATCTGCTAGCATTGGTTCTCTTAATACTATTTATCTTTACTGATAAACATATGCTTATTTGCTGGGTTTTTAAGTCATTATGTTTTGACTACACCAAACATTATTATAATAACTACATCAGTTATTAGACCCCGCTATGGCCCCCAGTAAATTACCCGAAGTATACTATTTTTAGCTGAGTAGTTACAGTTACCTTGTTTTCTTAATTTCCTCTTGAAAATTAACACCAATCCACTCCTTCCCCCTCCCGTCCACTACCACCTTCCCCAGCCTTCTCCCTCTCCTCTTCCTCCTTCCTCCCCTCCCCCTCCCCTTCCCTAGTTCCCACCCTTCCTCCTCACCTCCCCAGTTCCCCCACACATCTCCTCCTCCCCTCTCCCTCTCCCTCTTCCCCCTCCTCTCCCTCCTTCCTCCCACCCCAGTTCCCTCCCTCCTCCCAACCAATCCTCCTTCACTTCCCCACCTCGTACTCTTCCCCCTTCCTCCCTCTCCCCTCCCCCACCTCGTCCTCTTCTCCCCCTTCCGTAGTATCTAGGACAACAATCATCTTCAATTATTTGTGTCATATTGTTACGAATTTCTCTGAGTCATCTGGTGCATAGAACTTATTTTTTCGGAAGGTCAGTTTTCACTGTGGTCGTAATGGATATATATTCTCACGTACATATTTACATGTATACTATATTTACATGTTTGCTATTTGCACATGTATACTATATTTACATGATACATATGTACATGTGTATATTTACATGTATGCTATATTTACATGTATACTATATTTACTATGTATTTACTATATGTAAAAGTATATATACAAAAAAATCATAAATATACACTCACGATCATACAGAATTGCAGTCACATACACGTAGATGTTTTTGGACTTACCGAAACATTATTTCATCATACAAAACATTTTTTTATGCATAGACAGACAGGCGTAGATATTAGATATATATATCTATAGATATAAAATTGTATACATTTGCTTATTTATCTATTTGCTGATTTACCTACCTACTTACGTAACCATTTGCCACCCCGACCCCTCACACACACACACACACACACACACACCACACACACACACACACACACACACACACACACACACACACACACACACACACACACACACACACACACACACACACACACACACACACACACACACACACACACACGAAATGATAATGGTAATTGATAGATGAATAAAAAAAGTAAAAATAAATAAATAACTGAAAAGATTAAAAAAATTATTCATACATATATACATAACTTAACCACCTTTATCTCTCTCTCTCTCTCTCTCCTCCCCCCTCCTCCTCCCCCCCCCCCCACAGAACCGCCCCGACACCTCCACCAACCTCAACGCGTCCCTCTCCGTGAGCAAACCCACCATTGTCTGCTACATTTGCGGTCGCGAGTTCGGCTCCAGCTCCATCAAGATCCACGAGCCGCAGTGTCTCAAGAAGTGGCGCATACAGAACGAGAACTTGCCGGACGACCTTAAGAGACCCGAGCCCAAGAAACCGGAAGTGGTTTATGATGGTTGGTGTCTTTTTCTTTTTTTTTTAGGTTGTTTGTGTTGTGTGGTGTGGTTGTTGGTGGTAGTAGCGGTAGTAATAGTGGTTGTGGTGGTTGTAGTGGTAGTAGTCGTATTGTTTGTGAACGTGTTTGTGTGTGTGGAGAGGATGTTTGACCGTGCGTGAGTGTGTGAGTGTGTGTGTGTGTGTGCGTGCTTGTGTGAGTGTATGTGTGTATGTATGAGTTAATTTTTTAAATAATTCCTTTCATCTTTACGTCACACACTCATCCACACACACACCTCACGTGTCTTCCCATCCTCTCTCGCCCCCACCATGCCTTGACCTGGCTTCGTGTTGTTATTGCCTGTCTTCTTACTCTGGCCGCTGTAAGGAGGTCAGCTGCACGCCACTGCAGTTGGAGGTCGGTGAATGCCTTGTGAATGGAAATAGTTTATTGTGTTTGGGTGAGAGGAGAGAAGGGGAGGGAGGGAAGAGGTTGGGAAAGGGAGAGATAGGGAGTGGGAAAGGGAGAGATAGGGAAGAGAGGGAGTGGGAAAGGGAGAGGAGAGGGGACGAGAGAGAAGGGGAGGGAGAGAAGCAGAGGGAGAAAGGAGGAGGAAAAGCGAGAGAGAGAGAGAGAGAGAGAGAGAGAGAGCGAGCGAGCGAGAGAAAGGGGGAGGAAGCTCACTATACCTACACACTGTTCTAATCCTAAAGTCGATACCTGCACTGCCATCTAGACAGATTCACGCCAACCGTTATCTAAACTCTAGTCTTTCCGTCAGTCATATTTATCATTCATTCCCATCTTGCTTTGTCTCTCTCATGCCACAAGATTTTCCACCTACCTAACCCTCTTTTTTCATTATCTCTAGAATTCTCACATTCTCATCTCCTTAACCTGCTTCCGCGACCCACATTCCTCCTTCTCTCTCCCTCACCATCGTCTCATTTTCTCCCGCAGAAGAAGGCAAGGTTGACAAGGAGGCGATGGCGGAGGCGGCGTGGAAGACGCACCTCGAGACCCTGGTTGCATGCAAGTGCGGGCGGACCTTCTTCCCCGACCGTCTTATCGTGCACCAGAAGGCGTGCCTGAAGGAGGCGTGATAGAGGAGACGGCTTCGCTCGCTCCTCCTTCTCTTCCTTCGCCACTTCCCCGCCCTCAACCTTGTGATAGAAACACGCTTCCCCCGGGGAAAGTTCGTCTTGAATGCCTGCTATCTGTTTTACACGTGTCCGCCCCTCTCGACATCCAGGTTTCGAAGCTACCTATCTACAACTTCCCGGGTTTCGGAGCTCCCTGTCTCGAAGTTCCCGGGTTTCGAAGCTCCCTGTCTCGAAGTCCCGGGTCCCGGGGTTTCGGAGCTCCCTGTCTCGAACTTCCCGTCTCCCTTTCTTTCGAACTTCCCGGGTCCTTCGTCTCGAGCTTCCCGGGTTTCGAGCTCCCTG